AATTTTACCTAATTAGGTTATATCTCACAGGGTTACATTTCTCTCTTATTTTTCACTGTAATCCCAAGCTGATAAACAAACAAAACATTTTTATAGCCTCATTTTTGCTCATTTTACCAAGGATGCCAATAATTCTTTCAATAACTATAACACAGAGGCATGTCCTCAAAGTTACTGTCTTTGGAGCATTCAAATCACTCTATCTTCATCAAATTATTAAAAAAAACCCTGTCTATACTAGTCAACACTTTAATCCTGAGTCATTATCTTCATCATTAAAGACCATTTTGGGAATCACATATAACTGTACACAACTGTTTTGGTAATGCAACAGAAGAGGTGTTCAAAAAAACAACAGTGCACCCACCTCACCATATAATATGCACATTCACTATGCCCATGTCTTCTAGAAAGCTTAGAGTTAGTCCTGAACTAGCTCTAGTTAGAATCTTGGGTGCTGTTTAAGTTCCTGACTGAGGCTTCAACATTTTTCCTGTGTACTGTTGTAAACTACGCTGGAAGAATAGTTCAGGCTTGGTCTTTACATTTGGAATGCAACAGTGCCACCTAGAGCCAAGTAACTGTACACCAAATACTCCTGTGTCTTTCTGATTCCTGGGCTTTTACTGGCCTACCTTACTTAAATCTGTTCTGTGCAACAATAACAATTAGTTGGAGAGTAAAAGATGAACTACTTCTGTACTGAAAAACAAAACTACTTCTGTATTAAGTTCAGAAAGTGTATATACTGAGACACCAACGCTTATCTCTGCAAAATATATTCATGGTGGATTACCTGCTCTGTTTTTATCATTCTGTTCTGTCTAAGCGTTACAACTTTTTTAGAGGAAATTAACCTGCCCTCTCCTCTTCGTTCTCCTCTCCTCTTTACTTCTCATATATTGCCCAAGAAGGTGTGGAAAGGTGGAGAGGGCAGAACGCGATGGAAAGTGTCAAGTCATGGCATGACGGACATTCCAGCAGCCGGCTCCTCACAGCCGGACAGAGCCTATTTATACTGACAGGAAGACACTGAGTTACTGAGAGAGAGAGATCTCTCTTACCTCTCCCCCACCATGGCATCCAATCATGACTTTCTCACCTATCATTACGCAACTATCATGCTGGCAGAAGTTCAGCTTCAGACCTGTTGTCACCAGCATCGCCTCTTTCTGCAGTTCCCCTTAGTGGCCAATCTGCCGGCGGCATGGAAATTCACTCTGATGATTTTAATCATTGTAACAAAAAAAATCCCATAGCTCTGTGTGCAAACAGATGTAATAGAATACTGTTAGTGGTATAGGCAGAAATAAAACTTTAGGTAGGCCTGTGAAAAAGTGAGCTACTATTTCCAGATGCGAAAATGTCCCTCAATGCCATAACAACACTGCTGACAACGGTAGTCATCTCCCTACCTATTTGAATGCCTCCATGCTATGGTGACACAAAACAATAGCAACCAATACTGCAGCACCCTTCACTATAAAGCCTGTGTCCACTAACCACAATCTAAAATGTAAGTGTATGTATACATTTGCTTAGACAATCTGACAGAACCCCTTTAGCTTTTGTAGTTAAAGAACATTGTAGGTCGCAGACCTCTGATGTTTTTAAAAATTTGGCTTTGAAAATAGGTAGAAAAGTACACATTCTATCTACTTTTACAGATCCCACAGGTAAATCCTTTGACCACAGATGGAACTGCAATTCAAAGACTGGCATGCTGATAAAGAACCGAATGCTTGAGGCACTGGCGGATAGTAACGGTTTCTAAGCAGTGATTTGACAGTTCAGAAAATAAGGCAAAGCCTGGGACTGACGTAATGAACTGTACCTCGCACATTCAGGAGTGATGTGCAGAGTGTAGTGTTTTTAAGTGGTCATAACACGAAGACAGCACTCACAGAAAACAGCTTAGTGCAGCTTAATATCTTTCCCCATTTGATTTGGTAGGCCTGTGTTAAGTCCTGAACCTATATCAAGGCCACAACAGCTGATTTCTTAATATCAAACAATCACGTACAATCCAAAATAAAACCAAAATAAAAAATACCAAAATAAAAAATACCATTTTAGCACAACATATTCCATCAATGTTATTGAAGCTTAAACTGAAGGACCTCCAAAACAGGCAAAAATATAATTTTATGGCTACTAGGAAAAAAGATAAATGTCGACTTTAGAACAGATTGTAACAGAAGCTGTAGCAGCCAATCAGTCTGCCTGTAAACAATAAGGTCCTTTTACTTTGGGTCAGAAGCACCTCAGAAGCACCTCAGAAACATCACCATTCCATACCAAAAAAAAGACAAAAATGCATAATCAGCATTTAGTGGAAAGTCAGGCTTGACTTTCCACTAAATGCTGATTATGCATTTTTGTCTTTTTTTTCTCATTTCTTTGCCTTTTCATGCTTACCATTAGATTCTACACAAATTTGTGATGTTGTGAATCTAAGGGTGTTCTGAATGTACAGTTTCAAGTTTTCCATCTTCAGTTTTCTCGGTACTTGTGGACATGTGGACTTTACGTGTACATTACCGTGAAAGTTCACAGGGCCGTACGGCTCTCTAATCTGTCTAATTCTATCATTCATTTAGGCTATAAGGGAGATAATGCAGACTTTTGAAAACTTTCAGAAAGATCGCTTCAGACACAAGCTTCAAAGTTTCAAAAAAGAATAATAAAAAAATGAATTTAACATGAGGATGGTGAGAATTAAGTAAATCTTAAAGAACGTAGGTCTGAAGTCTGCGAGACCGGAGGCCACTGGCTCCAGTACAACTGGGTATAATATAAAATAATGCAGCAAAGGTAAATCTGAAACACATCGATATGATGAAGAAATGTACCTTTCATTTGTATAGGTGCAGTAAAATGAATAAAATTGAGGGATTTTAGCATAGCAGCTTAGTTTTTAGTTGCTCTTCTGGAGTACTAAAAGCAGCATCAAATATTAAATTTTAGTTTGAATTATCAGTTAAGCAGAGATGTAATAATAGACTCATCCTACAATTTCAATCCTGATATTGGGTTCACAATTTACTTGGCTAAAAATGTCTACAATAAAAGTCTTAATATTCAAAATATAAAAATGCATATATACCCATATTACAGTATTAGTCATTGTAGTACAATGTCTATTTATATTTTTGACACAGTTCTTCACTCAACAAACAGTAAAAAAACAAAACTTTACAGAAAATTCTACCACCTCGTAAGCCATTTGCCAAATATGCTCCCAGACTCCTTCACTTGATCTGCCATTTTTGGTCCATTTTTTTCAGTTTCAGGTGATTGAAAAAGCAGCAAGCACCTCCTGGGAACAGTAGCTATGATGATAACTATTCCATTCATCCAAACTTGCCACAACAGCCATAAAGTACTGCGGTCATTCCCAGTCCCTGTCCTAGATACCCTATGACACATCCGAGTTCATGAAAGGGCTTGATAATTGCACAGATTGAATCTAAGGCTGAAGTTGAAACCACAAAAAAGTGCTCAGCATGTGGTTCCTGTGGTTTTTGGAACCTCTGCGGTTCAGGTCAGCTCCACTGGTCGCTCCTCTGATACTAGAAAGTCATTACAGATGCATTCACTGCTGTTTTCCGCCCTGCTATAATATGCCCTACGCTAATACGTGACAAACTCCACATTAGATTAGATAATTGATAGGACACTGCCAGTTTAAGAGTCTGCATGATCATGAGTCAGAAAGCTTAGCGACCTACTATGCTTTTACTGAAGCATACACACGTTACACAGTCACCCTTTATAAAAGAGGAGGTAGTATTTTTAGTATATTCACAGTGGGCACTACCACTGCACTCTAAACATGGGGGTCGTCTGTATGAACACGTTACAGAGGAACTCTGTGACCTGCATCTGAAATGCCACTACACAATCCCCACTGAGATCTAATTGGTTTCCATGACCACTCAACGTAGAACATCCCTTCTCAAGTAGCAGTTGTACTAACAAACATTTTTTGGCACATGCACACATATGCATGCATTTGCAGCCATCCCACATGCTGCAGATTAGCCCTATCTCAAACTCGGAGGCCTGCTTAATGCCACTGGCACATCTGTGAGTGTCCTAAGGACATCACTATTACCAGTTAGTCAACAGTTCAACTCTTGTAATGCCCTGTTGCAAAAAAACTGAAGTATTTTAAGTGCTACTGCCATGTCGCTATTACTAGATCATCTGACAGTGTTCCTGTCCTTGATTTAACTGGGCAACAGTGGGCCTCGTGTGCTTGGGTTTGCCTTCAGCTATGAATATGTTTGACAAGTACCCACAAAAGAATAAACTGAAAATGCTACCATTGCAAATAATTAGTGAAAGCTAGTAGGGGCCACTTACCAGTATCCTAACGCAGTCATGCTAACTGGACCCAGACATCTTGATTTTCACTCATTATCATCTTTGGACAAATAATTTCTGTCAAATCAATTTGCTTTTTAACTATATATGAAACAGGGTACCATTGTGAGATTCCTCAACACCCAGGAGTCGCTTCCTTCAAGTGCAATGATTCTGGCAGAGCACCAACAGAAGGCTCAACTGCCTTCCAACGATACCTCTATAAATAGATGATTGACACAGTACCTTCCAGTATTACCAGAAGAAAATGCCCAAGTTCTGCTCTCGAACTACCAAGCTACAGTAGTTTCATAGCACAGCTTCGAGCCAAAAGGTGATCCCACAGGCACAGTCAACAGGGTATCAGGTAAGCAGACGAATAGCAAGAGAGGTTTTGATGGATAGGTTGTTTACAGGTTCTAACAGATTTATTTCCATTAGCTCAGTTCTCAATGGCTATCTGTTTATGTTAACTAGTACATACACCATTTTAGAATAATTACAAAAGCCATCTTGCTGTCTTTATGCTGTTACCTGCCATAATTGAACATCAAAGCATCTCAACTTGGATCCTCAAATAACAACATTGCAAGATAGATCCATACAGCAAGATAAGCCCATAATTGTCTTACCTGACTAGAGGCTGGGGGTTACCTATCACCCTGCATTCCAGGCGAATAGGGCTCCCCTCCGCCACCTCCTGGCTCTTCAGCTTCTGGGTGAACCGTGGAGGAGCCATTGGCCCATCCACACTGACCCCACCAGCTTGATGCTCACTCCCTGCTATGCCTGAATCCGTTCCCGCTTGGCCTCTAAGAGCCGCCTCCTGCTGGAGCCCTGATGAAAAGGACGAGGACGAGGAAGAAGACTGAGCCTGCTGCGCTGCCAAGCGATGGCTCCTTGGGGACAGGTAACCGCTGTCAGGTGAGGAGGAGTCCTCTTCTCCTTGTCGATCTAAGCTTCTAGACCCTTTGAAGATGGAGGAGAGCTCCTCAATGAAGGTGGCGGCCCGGGTGCAGAATTCGGTGGCAGAAGCGGCCCGCTCGTTGACCTCCAGACCTCCATGGACAAGCCGTGGGCGCTCTTGCTTGTACATGGGCATGATGGACTTGTGGCAGACAAACTTATCAGGTGAGGCTGGAGATCCAGGAACTGCGCAAGCCTGAGTGGGCCTGCTGAGCTGAACGCTCTGGCTAGATGTGACTTTAACAGATGCAACTTCGGCCGAACTTGATGTTGATGTCGCTACTGGAACAGGAAGCACCATCCCTTTGGTCTCTGGGTGGACAGGCTGATGCTCTGTTGCGGTTGGCGGCTGTGGGGTCGGGTTAATGGAAGATGATGGGAAGCAAAGACCCTGATCAAGTGCTTTGGGGAGGGTGTCAGGGACTGGGGGTTCAGTGAGGTCAGAGGGGTCACTTGTATCGCTCATAGCCTCTCGAGCCAGGTCCAGACTGCGGTTAATCTCGTCCTGGCTTAGGAAAGCAGAGAGTTCTGGAAAGTCCCCATCCCCTGCCTCAAACTCCACTAGGGAGTCCAGGTAAACTTCACCATCTGAGGACGCCTCTGAAAACACGCCCCCATCCCCCTCCAGAGACGCAGCCCCTGGGGGGCGCCCCTCTTTTAGTAGCACAGAGAGGGGGAGTGTGTCATTCCAGCTCCCGTCCTGCATCCTGCAACACACACATACACATAGGGACATGTAAACAACTGGTACAAGAAATAGAAACTGTTAAGTGTGAACACAAGGTGCTGTTGGTGAGCTGATCGCTTGATGTTTTTGATTAGTGAGATGAAAGGAGATCTCATTTTTTCCTTGTATAAATATACAATAAACAATAACACTTGAAGCTGAGATTTGCAGACATTCTAAATACACCACAAATAAACGAAGCATTGTGAATAATATTTTCATATTCACAGTAAATAACAAGCTTACAATAAACAATGAATAGCAAATAGATGCTTTGCATACTCATATTCATAGACTGCACTAACAGTAAACATACACTCAGAGACAGATCACAAGCAGTTGTTGTATGATGACTCAGAGATTCTGTGGGCACAGCTGATGGGCATTAACCAAAGAGCTCTATCAGCTCAGCAGGGCATGACTGGCATTCAAAACAATCCCTCACCTTCTCTTTCTCCCAGCACCCAATCACCACCTCTGAAATGTGAGTCATTCTGGGTGTTTTTTAGACGTTTGTGGATGAATTTTATTGAAATTTCATTCTTGAGCTACACAGCTTTCTGAATTGTTATGAAGGCATTTACAGCTCTGTTGATCTTGCTGGATATGTCTGAAATAGATATGTGAGGAGGCTGTATTTTAGAATGGGTAGCTCTCATTGTGAGTTGTTTACATGCTTAGGTGCTATATTACAGCCACAAAGAGGGTAATTCTCTGACTTATACACACCACTCAGTAATCAAAAACACTTCTGATGAAATAAAGTTACTTTTATGGTGAAAAAACATTCCAATTGAAACTTAAGAAATAAACTGAAACTTCCAATTGAGTCTTAAAAAATAACCATCCAATTGCTCTAAAAATTCACAGATGAGGCTGCTATAGAAATATGAGAGCATGACAAAATGCATATTCTACTTTTATGACTACATGAAATATCCATATTATATTTACCCCATTTTACTCTGCTCTCCCCTCAACAAATATATATATATATATATATATATATATATATATATATATATATATATATATATATATATATATATATATATATATACCTTTGCCACAGTGCCCATAAATAAGCGGTTAATATAACAGTGTATTCAGCACAGCCATGTCACTCTCCCCTGAACTAACTCCGAGCAAATCTACTGACACTCCACTGTCACTGTTTGAAGGTAATCATGCAGTAATATATAGTCACTACAGTAATTATAGCTCATTTGTAATACATTACACACATCCATGGCCAAACTAACAAAACATTGAACTTATTTTTCATCTTTTCAAGAGATTGCATAACCAAACACCGAATACCCTGACAGTGACAGATTCTCTCACATTCCTAATCAATCATTTGTGGAAAGGTACCTTCATCCTGGTCCAGTTAAAGTGTTTGGTTGGACATACCGCATGTTGGTGAAACATTAGTATGACACCGAAACAGCACTGGAAAGGTAGTGGTCTCTCTACCAAACATATCATGTCTCTGAGAGAATACATATTCGGTGTGGACGCAGTCATGCGGGGGGGGGGAGGTGTGAGAGGCACTTGAATGAGTTACGTGCATGAGTTTACTTGAGGCTCAAATATGCTCCTTCCATATAACACTAAAGGCTGCTCAATTAGAGAAGAAAACTTTGAATTGGGATAGGACTTTAAGCCTTTAAACTACAACCCCATTTCCAAAAAAGTTCGGATGTTGTGCAAAATGTAAATAAAAATAGCATGCAAATGATATGCAAATCATGTAAACCATGTTTTTAAAGGAAAATACTACAAAGGCAACATATCAAATGTTAAAACTGAGAAATGTTATTGTTTTTGAAAAATATATGCTCATTTTGAATTTGACGCCAACAACACATTCCAAAAAAGTTGGGACGGGGGCCTGTTTACCACTGTGTTGCATCACCACTTCTTCTAACAACACTCTGTAAGCGTTGGGAACTGAGGAGACACTGCTGTAGTTTTGAAAGTGAAATGTTTTCCTGTTCTTGTTTGATATGGGATTTCACCTGCTCAACAGTTCAGGGTATCCTTTGTTGTATTTTTCATTTCAAATGTTTTTAGTGGGTGACAAGTCTGGACTGCAGGCAGGCCAGCTTAGCACCTGGACTCTTTTAATATGGAGCAATGCTGCTGTAATACATGCAGTGTGTGGTTTGGCATCTGAAGCTGAAATAAGCAAGATCTTCCCTGAAAAAAACGTCATCTGGATGGCAGCACATGTTGCCAAAACATGTATATATCGTTCAGCGTTCATGGTGCCTTCACAGATGTGCATGTTTATATTTGGTTTCTTCTTTGCATTTTAAAGTTTTAACTTGCATTTGTGGATGAACTGTTTTCACAGACAGTGGTTTTCAGAAGTGTTCCTGAGCCCATACAGTGACTTCCACTACAGAATCATGTCTGTGTTTAATGCAGTACTGCCTTAGGGCCCAAAAATCATGACCAGCAACTACAGATTTTTGGCCTTGTCCCTTGCATCCAGAGATTTCTCCAGATTCTCTGAATCTTTTAATGTTATTATGTACCGTAGATGACGAAAAGCAAAAAGTTCTTTGCTATTTTACCTCAAGAAACGTTATTCTTGAATCGTTGCACTATTTGATGGTGCAGTCTTTCACAGAGTGGTGAACTCCTCCTCATCTTTACTTCTGAAAGACTCAGCCTCTCTGGGATGTCTTTTTTTCTGCCCAGTGATGCTGCTGACCTGCTGCCAATTAACCAACAGGTGTTTTTTAGCAATACACAACTTTACCTGCCTTTTGTTGCTCTTGTCCCAACTTTTTTGGAACGTGTTGTTGGCCAAATGGACAAATATTTTTCAAAAAACAACAAAAATTTCTCAACACATCTTATATGTTGTCTTTGTACTATTTGCACATCATTGCATTTTGTTTTACAAATGTACATTTTGCACAGCGTCCAATTTTTTTTGGAAATGGGGTTGTAAAACTAAACAGGTCCATATCATGGAAACCTGAACTGTCCTCCCTTTTTTAAATAAAGGAGTCTGATGTAGTATGTAAACATCAGTAAAATTGCAAAATATATCCTTCACTCTATAGACCATATTGTCCATATATAACAACTTAGCTGCAAAAACAGCTCATTAAAAAATGTTTTTGTGATGTCAGAAAAAATGCATTTGCATATATCCACCTATTCAGCCCCGGGCAGTTTAGCTTTGCCCATACACACTGAAGTTACAAAGAGTGTTACAGTCTGGGCAGCTTTCTGAATGAGGCACAATACAGGCAGCCAATCAGAACAGAGGGTTATTTACATGTATCTGTATTATAGACAGTAACAAAATCAGCCTGTTTAATTCTAACGCACAATGAGAGGGAAAATGGTCATGTAAAGAATGAATTTGGTACGTTTCGGGGTGGGGGGCTCTTCAGGGGCTCTTTAAAAAGGTCTGTCACACTTGCACGTCTAATTTACAAAAAAAAAAAAGTAAATAACCATTCGTTAGAAGGTAGGTACGCTTAAAAAGACGGTTCTTTAAGGGGGTTCTTTAGATAAACTAAAGAAAGGTGCCAAAGGGTTGGGATGTTGGGATGCCATAGAAGAACTTCCATATAGCACACTCTTCAGAAAAAGATGGTTCTTCAAGGTTTCTTTAGTAAAGAGGACGGTTCTATATAGAACCATGAACACTCAAAGAACACTTTGCATGATTAAAGGGTTTTTTGCATCACCAAATCCTCCTTCAGATTGATGGAGACTGTGCTATAAATGGTTCTATATAGAAGCTTTTTGAAAAAGGTTCTATATAGCACCAAAAAGAGTTCTCAACCTTCGCATTTTAACAATAGCAGAACCCTCTTTGGTGCTATATAGAACCCTTTTCAAAAAGGTTCTATGTAGAACCATATAAAACACATTCTCCAATAATCTAAAGAACTCTTTTGAGATTAAAAGAATCCTTTAATCATGCAAAGGGCTCTTTGAGTGTTCATGGTTCTATATAGAACCATCCTCTTTACTAAATAAACCTTGAAGAACCCTCTTCTTGAAGAGTGTGCTATATGGAAGTTCTTCTATGGCAACATCTCAACCCTTTTGGCACCTTTTTTTAGTCTATCTTGGGCATTTGCATCGTAATGCATTTACTGTGCTGAAAATCTAAAATAACTATGCTGTGCTTACATTCAAGTTACTTTACGTGCTTTGAGTTGAAGAGTTCAGTTTTATGTGCTCGCTTTGAGCACATACAGTACTAAAAATCAGAAATGACCTTTCATTTAGAGAATTTCCAGTCAAAATGTCCACAAGTTTTCTGCCCCAGGAAGAAAAAAACAGAAAACCTATGTTAAACAGAAAATTACACAGAAGCCTCAATATCCACCCTATTCTTTTGAAGAGACTTTCAGTTTTTCAAAGAAATCTGCAGGGATATTTTTCCACACCTCCAAAGTTCATTCTTAGAAGTTGGCTGCATTTTCTGCTTCTCACAATCCAAATAATCCAAACGCATTCAGTGATGCTGAGGTCTGGATTTTCTACATTTTGATCTATTTCCTTTTCTCAGTAACGGCTTCTTGACGGCTACACGTCCTTTCAGACCCAAAGCGCTGAGCTTTCTTTTAATACTGTAAAGATGGAGGCTGACATTGTGGAGCTTGGTTTTCTCCCCTCTCTCAAAGATGAACGCTTTAGGTACTGTTTATCTGACAGTTTTGGTGGTCTACCAGGCCTCACATGATTGGGAGTCCCATTTTCTCTATATCTTTCAACAATTTTTTGAAGTCCTGTTTTTCCATTTATTTTTCTTTAACTTTCCAATTTCTTTTACATTATATCTAATCTCCCAGACTCAGATCACTGTAGCTCAGGGTTCACACTGCATGCAGTATTCCCTCCAAGCAAACAAAGCTAGTATCTAGTATTGCCTCTTCATTTGCTATACACTGTCAGAAATAAAGTTTCTCTGCAGGTACATTTTTTGTTCATCAAGGTACAAACAATGTAAGTGTTCCCTCAAAGGAGCAACAGTGGTTTTAAGGTCCAATTGTGAACCTTAAACAAGTTTTTCCAGGTGAAAAATATGTATTTGTACCTTTTTCCTAACCTATGATTTAAAACAGAAAAATAAAATAAAAAGCCTGGAGGCGAGACGGGGTGTGTGGAGTCAGTACAGCTTAGAAAATATCATTTCAATGGATTATGGTACAGTTATGTTCCCTGACTAAAGGTACTGAGATATACCCTAGAGGGAACCACACCAGTGATAAGAAGGGCACTGCCCCAGTGACAGTTTAGTCATCTTATTTCTGAGAGTGTAGTACTCATAAACACACAAAAAAACCTCTAGATCAGCATAAATATTTGATACAGGCTGAGGTATTGACAGTAAAGGTAAGAGAGGCTGTATGTTTGTGTGGAGAGAGATGTGACGGTGTGACATTCTCTCCAGCATGGCGACCTGAAGGCCAGCTGTTGTTATTTTTAATCCCTGAGGGCTACGTCTCACAGCTTTCCTACTCCTCCCCACCCACAAAAGAAAAGACATACAAACGCACACATACACAGGCACACACAATCATTTTAAACTCAATCTCCATTATTTATGTGGAAATGAAAGCACCTATGCAGCAGTACTGAATAATATATAGTGGAACACAAATTTGATTGACAGATCAACAACTGTGAAACAAAATCTAAAAAGCCCTTACTCCCTTACTGACAGTCTGACAGGCATGTTTTTAATGCACAATGAATTATATTACAAACTGTGCTTATTTAAATACTAACAACTTATAATCTGACCATATCTCACTGCCTAATTTACTGCAAAACTAAAATCAAACAAGTTAAACACACCTTAAACACCTACTAATTCACTAAAAAACCTTCAGCTGTATCACATATTCAGCTTCAGTTACAATAAAGAAAGTGGAATACAATTCTTCTCAAATCTACAAAGACTGTCCTTCTTTTAAAACTTTTTTTACTGTGGGACTTTTATGCCGCTGACCTAAAAACAGAAAATAGCCTTCGCTTACCTCTAAATACTTTTCCACAAACTTCTGTCCCAGCCTGAATAGTCCAGCTTCTCTGAAGTAATGTGTGTCAGGGAGGTAAAAAGGGCGTCTTGTACCAGTGCAGCAGTGTACCTCTGTCTTTCTTTCTTCTTTTTACTCTCTCTCTTTTTTGTTCCGTAGCTGGGCTGGAGTGCTCTACAGTGAGCCGGTCAGGGTGCCGTGCAGTAGCTGCAGAGTGGCCTGCTGTCCCATCTGTCCTGCGTCCTGACCACTCGCCCGGCACCGCTAAATTTGGACCCCCGGCTCAAGTTTCACAGCCAGAGAGAGAGAGAGAGAGAGAGAGAGAGAGAGAGAGAGGGGGATGGAGAGAGAGGCCTCCAGGGTGTACTGCATCTCACTCGCAAACATCACAAAAACATACATGCATCACTCTCCTACCCACAGAGGAAAGTAATGCGTTTTGCAGACATGTACGTGCACAAAAGATACGCTGTTGAAAATACATGCAAAACCTGTTGCATTTGTAAACTTCTGGCATCCATGATATTTTCAGGCTATTATTACATGAATGTCCAACTGCGATTATTTGAGTCGATCACAATTATTTAAACTGACCTCAATTCTCTTCCAGTTATTAGATTTCACGATCATATGTTAAGGCAAGAAAACAAATGTGAGTTGGGCGCATGTTCATCAGTAGGGTACATGCAAATTAAGTAAAAGGGAGCAGGAAATGCATTTATTGAGATAAGTCGTGGGTCTTATGCACATGACAAAAGTCGCAACTTTTAACAGATGCAATAACACCTTTAGAGGGCAGCGGTGAGTAAGGTTTATTTGAGCTTGAGCTGAGTCTGTCTTCATTCAGAAGCTACTAAGTAAGGATGGATACTAGGTAAGAAAGCTAATTAGCCAATTCATTCAAGTTAGGCTTGTATTTAAATAGTTGCATCCAGTGAACAAAAAAAGATGATGAACTCATTAATCATAACTATCATCTCTTCAATCTGGATGTGCTATTATGTTTTAAAAAAAAATTAAGAAAATGTTCAACAAACAGAAAATACCTCTATCATGTGTTTGTAAATTGAGAGTAAACTGATAACATGCAATATCATCAGCAGCTGTTGAAACATTTGACACTTAGTGACTCTTTAACATTTGTCATAGATTTTCTATTTCTTTACATGTAAAAACCTTTTATGAGTGCCTGCTTGGACCATCTTTTGAACTATAGATAGATGTGCGGCAAAGTTGGAACACCGTCCGTCAAACTGCATTCTTTGTTTGTTTTTCTAAGTGAAAATAAAATAACACATCCTCTACAAACAAAATTAAACATGACATTTTTTCTGCAAATTCTTGTGCAAAATTTCTACTTATTTGCTGTGATATAAGATATTCTAAAAAATAATATATGTATGTATATATATATATATATATATATATATATACATATATATATGTATACATACATATATATATATATATATATATATATATATATATATATATATATATATATATATATATATAACTGAAATTGTGGCATGTGCCAAAGTTTTGGTACATTTATATATATATATGACTGCAGCAAATGTACTACACAGAGTTATTCATAAGATTGTGTTTATCTGCCCTAAAACCTGTCTTTAGGTTTAGTTTACTGCATCAAAACATGACAGAGAACTGGAATAGCTTAATATCATGTTATAGTTATATTAACTAAACTATAACATGTAATAGTTTGCATCACAATATTATTCTCAGTTGTTTACCATTTCAAATTAGCATGTAATAGAGTCAAAATTACTTTTTAACTTTGTAAGAAGGTACCTGATAATATACTATATGTGCACAAATTCAAAGAACTTGACTCTCAGGTATTTGCTCAGTTTGCTGGAGATTCTAAACACACACACACACACACACACACACACACACACACACACACACATATTGTATATTGTCTGCAGTTCCTTGCGTTTGTCAATTTTTATTAATATTGATTGAATAAATTACTGTGTACGTAAGAAAAGATTACACAATGTGTTCCACCACTGAAACCCAACACCATTACACGAGTAGTGAGGTTCAAATAATTCAATCCCAGTGCCTCATGAAACTGAACTTCATCTCACCTTTTATATTCATATCATTTGGGTCAATTTCTTATGTAAGATGCAGACTGAATATTACAGTCAAAAAGGACGGAGCCACATTATTAGCCTCTCTGTTACAGTAAGTTCTCTGAGTCATCTTTCTGATCTGTCATTGCTATTGAGAAGTGGAGATGACACAGTTTTAAAACAGTCATCCGTGTGTGACAGACATTAAACCACAGGATGAATTTAACATCAGTGGCTCATTCACCAAATACAGTTTTAGCCTACTAAAGCACGATGCTTTTAGCACAGTAGCTTCTTTCAAGGAATGGGACACAGAGTACTGCCCTAAAAGTATTTTTAAAGTTGTTTTTGTATTCAGTATTAATTTATACAGTGTTTACTTTACATAAAGCAGATATTTAAATTATTAAGCATGTAGAGAACAAGAAGTTATTCAGCAATAAATTGTATAATTGTCAACTGCATAGCAATTTCTCACCTCAAGATATCTATATGTGCTTTGCATGAGCTCATAATATGTTTTAAAGGCAGGCAAAAATCACTACACTTTGATCAAATAGCTTAAGATATTTATTGTAATAACAGCAAGTTACAGATAAGACATAACTTTTCAAGTAAGTATACACACACACACACACACAAACACACACACACACACACACACACACACAAACACACACACACACACAGATATATATATATATATATAGAGAGAGAGAGAGAGAGAGAGAGAGAGAGATAGATAGATAGATAGATAGATAGATAGATAGATAGATAGATAGATAGATAGATAGATAGATAGATATGAGTGTTAACTGAGGTGTTGACAAAAATATTATCAGTATTATGAGTATTATTTGTCAGTATTATGAGTAATCAACACTCCATGTGCAATATGTTTTTAAAAATATCTCTATAGTGTAAATATTCTTTGCTTTCTTATATTGTTAACTCCTCACCATCCCATGTGTAATATAAACCAGTACCTCACGTGCAACATTCCATGTGAATTTCAGGAAAATATCCTTACAGTGTAAATGTCTAAGCTTTCTATTTATTTATAATTCTTTATATTGTTAATTTTTTTGTGAAGGATAGAGTTTATATTTTTTATCTTATTTTTTGTGATTAGTATTATATGTATTGTCTATATAGTAACAAGCAACAAACTGTAAAAACCTTGTTAAGTACTCAACAAAGTTAATTACTTGCTTGTTAATTCTCTTCTTGTTACTTCTTCTCTTTGTATTGAGTGCCTTGCTGTCCCTTTGCTGCTGTAACACTGGGAATTTCCCCGTTGTGGGACTAATAAAGGATTATCTTATCTTATCTGATCTTATCTTATCTTATTGCCAGATATGTTGTCGCAAATTAGGAGCAAAGTTAAAATGTGCATTTGCAGTTTAAGAAACATTCTGTGCATATACGGTGCAAAATTGGTAAAAAACAATGCATTCACTGATATTAATGGATGCACTTAACGAAAATATAAATAGGTCTGCTAAAATTCAACGTCATTTTTTTCATAAGGAAATTAACTATAAATTGCTGGCTTCTGAGAAGCATTACTTTTACAGCTGTTATGTAAAAAATATAGGATAATTTAGTGCCATCACTGTACTTTTGTTGGACCAGGAGACTGTGAAGTCACAGAATAAAGTTGCTAGTTTACTGTTATTACTGTTAGTATAGTACTGTAAATTAGTGTGAAAGTAATGCAACTAGTAAACAACTATTTGCTGCAATTTCACAGCCACAATTTAATGAAGTGAATGTGTCTGCAAAATAACATGGTTTTATATTATTGAACATGTTGATTTCAAACTTTTGAGTAGTAGTGCTAATAACAAACTACTATGTTTCTTTCTCCATCTCTCTCCCTCGTGTCTTCTTATACTATTCTCACTTCACCTCCCTCCCTGAATTCGTCTCTATTTTAAGCTGACCCAGAGCCGGTTTAAGGGTCCTTTATATTATTGCCAATCTCAGATCTGACTTTGAGTAGACTGACCTTAAAGCATTCGTTAAACTTAGAAAGGGAAACGGGAGCCTGTCTGCGGGTTTATGATGACTGACTGCAGAGGTGTTTGAAAGTGAGTGCAGCCAGGACCCTGAGTCCGCGGGGTGCAGCAGGGCTCTATTTAAGGCCCCTTATCACATTCACTCCTGGGGATCTGACAGTGCCGAGCTATTCCCGTTTCTCAACAATCCACTGATTACGGCTAAGCCACCCTGGCTGGATCCAGAGGAATGTCCACTGAGACGGGTCTGTCACAGTTTAACCACACACAACAGTCTAACAGTATGTTAGAGTCAGACACTGTTTTTATTCATGACTTACATGCATGATGTGAGCAATACATTTAGGGGGTGTGTTAAAGGTAAAACATAGAATGAGAATTCACAATGGAAACACACGCTGCCAGAATTGTTAACGTTGGGAAGGTATCAGAAAATGTCACTGTGGAAACCGACAGAAAGTTATTCAACTTTGCATATTAGAATTAATTATCTCAGATTTTTTTTGCAGTTGAAATGCTTTTCAGTTTAATTACCAACCTGAGAACTTCATCTTAATCTTAAAACAATTGATAAAGTGAGCCCTTTTGTGTCACTGATCTCTTAATGCAGGATAACGTTTTCTAATTTATATGGAGGGCTGCTAAAAGTCCATTCAGGCCTACAACATTTTTTTTACTACGCTTATCTGAAAAATAAAGTTTAAAAGCTTTAAATAATGTACACAAATAAGTTTAGTTGATGACATCACAAATCCCAAGACATATCACATGAAAGGTCTAATCTTCATAGTAAGATTTGTAAATTAAACTAATATGTATCCACACTGTCAGCCCAAACAAGTTGAGGTAACCTGTTGCCCTAAAAGCAATTAAGCACTGGTGAGCAAACCAGCAAGTTTAAGTTCCATGTACTTAAGAAATACTTTATGTTAGAATAACTAAATTTTGTGTGTTACATTAACATAAATACACGTCTGTGCAGCTCCTACAGTCTAATTATTTTAACTAAACTTTTTGAGGCAGTTAAACATAAGACTCCAATTTAATTCTACATTTCATTAGATAATTAATAATGTTTTCTGATAAGGTGACAATGACCACCAGGCCAAACACTGAAGGGTTAACTCTTA